TTTGTAGGTTTACAACATTTGTTCATTGGTAATAAAATTAGTGATAAAACTTACGAAGTCCTTTAACTTCTAAATGGCAACATGCTTCAGTACATGCGTATTAATTGTGTTATGGAATGCAAAATTACATTAATATGTGAAATGTAACGAATCTTAAAAAATCTGTTTATACACAAAGTTTATATTTGATCAATGAAAATGTTACATTATTAAAAATTAAGATATATGCTTTCTAATTGATAAGTATTGAAAGAAAAGGTAAGTTAATTTATAATTTTATAAATTATGATTTTACATAAATGTAGTAAAGTTATTTGTACAAATATTACTATAGTTCATATACACGTCCACATTTGAACTTTTTTATAGTTCGTTCAGTAGGTCTTATAGAAAGATCCTTTCCAAAAAATTCCAAACATACTACCGTTAAATAAATTTTCATAATAACAACATCCTTAGGTATTGCTGAAAATAAATATTAATTGTAATGTGTATACACATATACACACACTTTTTTAATGGTATTAAAATATATGAAACAAAAATTTCATACTTCGTACAATATTGTCCTTTCCACAAATTCTAAAGGTATTTTTAGTATCTTGAATAACTATGCCTCTTAGTCCAACTAAAGTAGGGCATTTTGATCCAACAACTGATATTTCAGCACCATGAAAATCTGCTTTAATCAACTGTTGATTCACATATTCCCAATTTGGATCAGTTGGATCTTTTGGAATATTAGTAAACAATTTGGTACCAAGTACTTGTTGCATGTAATTTAACCATAACTGATTTAATGGTAATAAATTTATATATTTTAAGTCACCCTTAGAACTAATCTTACGTAAACCAAGTTGCATTCGTTTTCTACTAGTTAACAATTTTCCTGTACATCTTTTCTTAATATATTATTATTTAATTGAATAATATAACATAGAAATTAAATTTTATGCTATATTTTTACTATGTTACTGTATTTTTATGCTCTTTATTCATATATTACAAATAACTGTTATTATACCTTTCTTAATTCATCTGCTATCGAATCAGTATCATAGAAAGGCAATGCATTTTGTAAAAAATTCGTAACATAGTGTTTACTATTTGCACATGTACTAATTTGTTTTGTTATGCGTGTAGGTAATGTTACACATATACTTTCTGTAACAATTAAAATCAATTATGTATGGTAATATATTGTTATATATTAATTGTAACATTTATAATCCATCAGTATATAAATACGTACGACTTGTTTGTGCCATTGCCTAATAATAATGCAATAACAAAAATAAAGCAAAATAGATTTGTTTTACTATATAAATTACGAAATAAATATAAGTACAAGGTATTGTTAATATTAATGCACTACGTTCTTCCTTATTTGTTTAAAAATTTCGACGTATATTTCAATTTGCCAAAATATGTTGGACTAAAAGGTTATCCAAAGAAATATTTTTTATAAATTAATTGAAATTGGAACGTATTTAACAAGTATTGTGTAATACACAAATATAAAAAATATTTGGAAATGATAATACTTTAATTTATTCCAAATATATAATCATGTATACTCTTACAAAAATTTGTATACCGTACCAGAAAATAAGATATAGATACATGACATATATAATTTGTGTTCACACATTCGGTTCATTGAGATTAAATTGCTTAACAAGCTAAAATAAAGTGAAGGTTTATTTGTTTGAAATAATTTTGTAAACGCTTATACATTAAAAATTGAAGAAGATAGAATATTCAAGCATTATATGTAGAATACAAATATAAACGTCTTCCTCTCATAAAGTAGAACAATTTATTTACTTTCATCGCACATTTTAAATTTATGTTGCTGACATTAAAGCGTAATTACTTTAAAATAGGACGACATAAAGTTCAGTTTTCTACAATTTTTTTTCATTCATTTAACGTTTATTATTTTTTTAACTTTTTCTAGTTCGTTATAGGATTTTACATTTAAATGTACAATTCGAAAAACGATGAAATAATAGATTTCATCTTTATAAACTCTTTGTTGCACAGGTGCACGTTAATGAAATTACACACTTGAACGTCAGTTAAATACATTAATACAGGTATGTTAATATAGATCGATTTTATTCTTACAGTAACGAATAAAGTGGCAATTTATTTATTAAAATAGTGTAAAAATTAAAAATATAACTAGATATATTTTGTTAATCCTAAACTCTGTTAATCAAGATTGAGTAATACGAATATAAGTGAAGAAAAAAGACGAGAAAAAAAACTAGAAATTCAGCAGTGTAGTCCATTTACTGACTACTTGAGTCGAAGTCGTAGACAATCGTGGCATGTATGAACGAATCGTGTGGTTCACTGCAAATGTGTAGTGTCAAATTAACCATGTTGAAGCGCATATTTGGGGTTGTAGAAACTAATTAATAAAAATAAATAAAAAATGGTGTCAATAATTAAAAAGCAACTATTGAAACATCTGTCAAGGTATTTATACGGTTCAACCGTTAAATGAGTCTCCTTATCTTTAGTTCAATATACAATTAAAAATTGCACCACCCTTACTAAAGTTAGTCATATTATAAATATTTATAAATGTAGATAATTTTAGTTAGTTTCCTAGTCAGTATTATTACTGTTAAATTATTAATAATTTCTTTAATTTTTATTGTTAATATGACAATTTACAGATAATTATTTAAAATTACAGATGAAGTAAAACTTTTTTCCTTGTTTCAGTACATCTGTATTATGCGTACTTTGATGTTCCATACAAATTTCCATATGTGTTCTGAATTTGTTATAAAAGAAATTATATTTCTGTATTTCATTAGGCACATAATATTTACTTCATGAATTTATATAAATTTATAGGTTTACTAAGAATTTATCAGCTGATAAAATAAATTTAAGTACATTTAAAGGAGAAGGTGAACTAACAAACTTAGAACTTGATGAAACAGTTCTAACAGATTTATTAGAATTGCCATCATGGCTTAGATTAACAAATGCTTGTTTTTATCACAATAAAATTTGATATTTGATGTTTATAATTTTCATTAGATTTTAATATTTATAGAGTTTGGATGAAGTTCATATAGAAATAGAAACATGTGAAGATTTAAGAGATCTGTCTTCTTCACAAGGATTGCCTTCATACACTGGTCCTGCGAAATATTCTTTTATACATAAAGTAATTGATGGTATAACAGTAACTGTTAATACTGTATCAGTTACATTTAAAAGTCCTGCATTCATTGCTTCAGTTCAGGTATATAATATTATTCTTTAATTTTTTGATAAAATCTGTTTCTGATGTACTTGAAAACTGTTATGAAACTATTTTTTTTTTTTACCATAGATGAATCGTATTATTGTGGAATCAAAGTCTGCAACATGGCAACGTTGTGATCTTAGAACTACTAGAGTAAAAGACCCTGATCGTGGACAGTTACTTATTTTTAAAGAATTAGAATGGCAAACAGTTAGAATAGAAGCACAAAGTACTAAAGACAAGAATCTTATGCCTTTCCTTTTACTTACAAATCAAGCAAGGTGTCGGATTACTATCAAAAAAAGAATATCAGGTTATAAATATGTTAATATATAGTAAATATGTCATTTTTTTTTGTTTTTTTAGCTGTACTAAATATAGATGATGCATGTGTTTGCATTTCAGATTGTTTTGTTATGGGATCAAGACTGATTCTTATATTAGATGACCTACTATGGGTTTTAACAGATTCTCAATTGAAAGCAGCACTTCATTTTATTGATTCTTTAGGAGGTCTGATAGAAAAAGCTACAATTTTAGAACGTAAAACTAAAGCAGCTAGAAAACTAGAGGTTTGTAAATGTAAAATTCAAAAGAAAAGGATAGTTTCAATCATGCCTAACTATATTTCAATGTCTCAAGGTATTGCCAGAATATCAAGCACAAATATCTCAACAGTCAAGAACAAAAAATCAATATAATACTGTTATTTCAAAAATCTTTTCAAGATATGATGTTATAGAAACATCATACCATTTTCTTTGTCAAAGAATCGATTTGCACTTGTGTGATGAAGCTGGTAGTAAGTAATTACAAACTTTTTATTATTTATTATGTTATAGTTTATTTTATTTTGTACATTGGTCTACGATGTGTAACGACGTTCAACTTGAGACATTAGACTAAGACTGCGTCCAGGCGAGCCACGAGGCCGCACGCACTAGAAAATAAAAAACGGTGGCAACTTTTCCGTTGCCTCCCTCCAGATGTCATTGCATTTTCAATCCTCAACATATTATAATAATGTTATAATACCAATTATTTTGTATCTAGATGGTAGATCTTCCTATCCTGATTTAAAAGATGGTGGTGTACTGCAAATTTCACTAGTCAGGTTTCAAGTTGATTATTATCCATATCATTTAGCAATGGCTGATAGAAAACATTGGGCTAACTACAAAGAGAATGCTACACCTCACAGCCAATGGTTACAACAATCGTTAAGTTCATTTCGAAGTCAGTTTATGGACCTCATTGATTCTGGTAGAACACAGCATTCTCCTTTAACTAGAAGTCAAGGAAATGTCACAGGTTTGTATCTGAGAGAGTAATAAAGAATAAGGTGTGAATTTTAACACTGATAAAGCATTTTCGCTTGCTTCTATTTAGTTAATAATACAAAAGGTATGGGAGAAAATTTGGAAAAAGGTAATCAAGCTCAAAATGCAACTACAGGCTCTCATGAGCAAAAAAAATCGCAACATCCTAGTGGTAATCCAGTGAAAAATTATATTTTGGAACAGCTTGCCAAATTAATGACAACATGTATTATAATAAGAATTAATGACTTCACGTTGTATAAAGTAACTACAACGTCTCGCAGTCCTGTACCAAAAGAATTTGTTGCAGGTATGTGTAAATTTTATGACAATAAAGTTAATTTATTTAATAGGTTTGTTTTTTAAAAATGATCTTTCATAGGAAGCCCCCATATAATATAAATAATTATTTCGTTTAATAATTGCACAGCTCAAACAAGGAAGAAACACGCATCAGGTACAAATTACATATAGTTGTAGCATATTTATATTAATATTGCGTTATAAAAACTACTTAAACGTAGCTTCATATTTGAGAAATTCTGTTGCTTCATGTGTTATGTTGTTTACAATATCATATATGTATTATATAATCTAGCATTAATTCACAACTTGGTGCAAGAAATATTTAACAGCAGTAATAAATATATGAACAGTTATTGATATATGTATAATCAATCCGAAGTGTAATTATAGTTAAAATATAATCACAGCATAACTTGCTTTTTTGAAGCAGATACATTAAGCAAAATCTTTCATTGTATGTTTTTTAAAAGATATGAACAATTACTAATACTTTCTTAATTGATATTTAATAAATACAATAAACGAATGTATTCACATGTGAAATTAAAAATAAAATGTGCAAAATATGTCAGAGATATTAAAAATACGTAATGCAATATCAATAAATTTTCAATTATAAAAATAGAAGTTAAGATTTTGTTGAGGTAAACTTTGATGTATTATTTGGACAAAATGGTTTTTGTATCTCCTAAAAAACGTGCAGCAAAAGAATTTGTTACGCTCATTTTACAGATCCCGAAGTCCATATTTCATAGGAACATACAAATCATTATGCTTCATGCAATTATTATAGTTCGCATTTTGTAATATGTCACGTATAATAACATTATGTGAATTTTTATAATTGTATGGAGTATATTCATAAGGCATGTATGTTATTGGAGCATATGTTCATATTATTATTATATTTTTTATTGAAATGCTTTTATTTTATTTAGGTGATAGAGACAGGCTTTGTCTTCCAGAAGATGTTACAATTCTTCATGCCGAGTTTACATACTATTATTATCCTGGAGATATTACATTTCCATGTATGTAAACATATAACTATTATGTTTTTTTAACTACTTCTTAGTATATAGTACATTTAAATTTGTTTTAAATTGAAATTCATTTATAATTTTGTATATTTTGTAATTGTTTAGTGCCACCACCAAAATTTTATGTACAATTGAATCCTATTCAAGTAAATTTTGATCTCTGTTCCTGTTTGTGGTTTAATTCTTTTGCATTAAACTTATGTCATTCTTTAATGAGTAAAGATAAACAAGCAACATATACTTCCACTAACTTAATGTATTTTGATGTGAAAATTGAAGCTATACTTCCAAGAGTAAGTGTTAATATATTTATTTTGAATCTTTATATTTAATTCTATTGTATTATTAACATAATAATTATGTCCAGATAATTTTTGAAAGCCAACAAGATTATCCTAATCAAAAGGACAGACCAAAGTCTTTACACATTCAGACTTCAAGGGCATCAATAACAAATGTTCGATCTACTGAAAGGTCTTCAAGAGCAGATTTAGCACAATGTCTAAATGCTTTTCAAATGGGTCATATGTTTTTTGGTACAGAATTTCCAAACAAATCGGATGATTTTCACGTTTTAACAGATAAATTTTTGGCACATTGTGCAGGTAAATGCTTTTATATATAAATACATTTTTTATATTTCTATCTAATTCTGTATACTTTATATTTTTTTGTGTGTTACAGGCACTGATAATATCCGTTATCCACCACCTAACTTTAGTAGCAATTCTGTAAATGAATTAGTTCGCCAATTACATCGGGAACTTTTATGGACTGAAGCTAAAGACGTGTGGTGCTGTAATTTGGAACCCGTTTGGGGAGATTTTCTTGGTGCTCGCGCGGTTGGACATAATCGTCCTGTACCGTTTCTCGATGCATTTCCTTTAACTTTATGGTGCTATATGTCAATGAATTCGTCAGAAAATAAATCTTCTACTGCTGACATTCATGGTCTTGCGTATATAAGCAATTTAGTTAGCGTACAGATAAACCATTATCAGTACTTGTTCTTATTGAGGTTGTCGGAAGTTTTATCAGAAATGGCAACATACCTAACCATCGATTCCAATAAGATATTGAATGTCGATTCTGATAGTTCAATTATTATTGGCGCATTAGTACCGCAAGTAGAAGTAACTTTTGTCATGCCATCTCACACTCCTGGCAAAGAAAATTCTGGAGGAGATTTGGAATCTGTTATGCCAGATTCATCTAGCATAGCTGACGATATTGCATGTTCATCTATTCCATGGCAAAACAATACAGAACGAGTTGAGAGTAGCAGTAAAAAGATTAGCGTAAGTAATGAAGTAATAACTCCTCAAAGTGATGTATCACCAATACTGTCTATGGATTGTATGCAATATGTTAGTCCACCTCAAACTGTTGTCACGTTTAAACATAATGGTACAAATAAACATGATCAACAGATAGGGAATGTGACACATGATAAACAATACATTGGTGTAGAAGAAGAAAAAGCATTACCTAATCTACGATATGTTGCTGATACTATGCATAAACATAGCAAAGGGGACTCATCTTCAAATACACCATTCATTCCTAATAATTTCAACGTTGGTCTTTCTTCTATGAAAAAAGGATTAAGTAATTTAATGACATCTATTGATTCAGCTTTGAAGGCTTCACCAGAGGATGGTAGCAGTGATACTGTATCCATAAGGAGTGATGTTAGTTCTGATAGTGAGAACTACGTTTTAGGTAATCTTCAAGATCAAGAAAAAATGGATGTAATGTTTTCTATTGACAATTCTATTAGAGTAGCAGCAATAGAAGAAGCTAGTGAAGTAGTTGAAGAAACTCCTGATACTCAAAGTGAAAAATCTATGGATAGTGTGTGCAAACGAAAAGATATTGTATGTATTGTTTTATAATACATAAAATGACGTAATTAAGTGCGATTCTTTTTTAGGTATCTATGGCAACATTCAAATTATCCAAAGTTGAATTTATTCAACAATCTTCTGGATATGCATCGTCGATTAAAGTTCAAGTTTCAAATATTGGCAATGATGAATGTTCATCTATTCCATGGGATGAATTTCAGGTAAGATAAACTTATGTTAGTTTAAACAATAAACTTCTTGTTTGCTGATTATACAAAATATGCTATTTTCAATCTATCAAATAGGTATAAATACTGAAATTTTAAATATTGCTGCAGTCAAAATTGTATTGTTCTTTAGTATTTCTTTCATGTAATAATTTTATTAGAAAGTTTTAACTTTTTTTATACACTGTATAAAGTGCTTTTTATTGTGTAAAGAGTTGACATTTCTAATTAACACAAAATTAATCATTTATAGATCAAGTATTGTTTTCAAGTTTACAATTTTTTAGATGTTTTGAATATGAAATTTTAAAACATTAAAACAGTAATGAAGTATATTATTCAAATAATATTTAATTTTTGTAAAAAGTTCTACTTGGAATGTATCAGTGACTAACATTTTATTCCTAGTTACATATCTCCGCGTGCCACAGAACTTTCAATTTTATTTCTAGCTTTATGTCACTTACATTACAAACATTTTATACTATATATGTATATTCATACAATGTTTGTCTTTTAACTTTTTTGCATGCTTTCCTGCGTCTCTCCTTCTCTTGTGAATGTTTTTGTGTGGCACTTGTGGCAGGTCAAGAGGAAGGTATTGCCAAATACTCATATATTTATTTGTATTAAATGCCTCGTACTATGTACATTTTATTGCATGTTTATTTCTTTAAAATTAATGACGTCATT